TTAGTCTTCCTCCTAATCACTGGGTATTAGTGAGGGGTGTGCACACTAGGGACATTCTGTTTTATTTTATGGCCAATTGGGGTGACGCGCGACCCTCTGTAAAGTAGGTGGTGACAGGGACTAGTCCCGACTTACTGGCGTTCTCTTTCCCTTTCTTAAATAAAGTAATAATATGTTATGTGACTATTTGAACTTGGTTGAGTATTAAAATATTTATGAGACTATATTATGTATAAACTGTTTTAAACTAAAATTTATTTATTTTACGGGATGGAGTTGGAATTACTCAGTTTATCTGATTTTTGGGAGTCTTCTCTCTTTTCTTGTTTCTGATTTATTTTGCAGGTTGGTAGAAAGGGTACTCGGTTACGTGTGAGGAGACGTTAGAATAATCATGTAGCTAAGACAATTTAGTTTATCCCCGAATTAATTATTTCCTCTCAGTTATTGGTTTCAAATAATTGCAGTTTTTGATGTAATGACTATTTTATTTTGCCACAACTTAGACCACTTAGTTATTTTAAATATTATGTTACTTTTGCTGTGCATTTATTTTCTACGGAAAATAAGTGTAGCAGTAACACTTCCAAAGTTCGATGGTTGGGTTTTTAAAAGTTAAAGGTTAGACTTATTGTTTTTAAAGACTCGAATTTTGGGGGTGTTGATTATTTAATCATAAAAATCTGTATGTCTAATATCACAGATAAAACTCAAGCATTTAACATCCTTGCCAAAATCTTGTAAAGGAGTTATGTATACTTGTACTGCACCAATACAAATATAGCTATAATTTCCTTTTTCTTTATGTTTTTTAATACTTTTCCAATTTATGATATTAATTTCGGCTACTTTTTGTTCACAATCTTCGATTACTATGCTTCCTTCCATCTCTTCACATACATAGTTAGTTCTAGTTTTAAAGAAAGGAGTTTTAAATATTTTATCCTTAGTAATCTGGGGAAAATTCCAACTTTCTTTGTTTACTTGATCTAGGTCATTATCTTCAAATGAATACTCAACTCTTTTTAGTTGACCTATCGTCATTTTGCTTTTATCTTCCTCATTGTCATCTGACTCTGAATTTTCTAATTATTCTCCTTCCATCATATTATTTATTTCTTAATAATTTTCATCTTCAAACTCATCACTAACCTCAGGTTCTTCATTATATTCATTTTCCTCTTCTATGACTTCTACTATTTTTTTGTTATTACTTAAAGCCAATTCTAAAGCCTTGTCTTCTAGTATTTCTATGTAATCCCAACTTACTAAGGGTTCCATTAGTTTTCTTACATTCATTAGCATAATGTCCTAATTCTCCACAAGACCAACACATACATGTCTTCATTTTCTCAGGACAATATGTTGCCTTTTTGAAAAACCTACTTGGTTTTCTATATTTATGTTTATAATACTTCTTCTTATAAGTTTCTCCTCTTGATCGGTTAAATTTATTTTTCTTATAATTCCTTCTTTTATTATAGTTTTTTCTTTCACATCCATAGTTGTTTGGGAAATCCCAACAAGTGAGAAATTGTCTCTTCATTTGTTGAGTTCCTGCAACCTCTCTACATTTCTTTTCAATCCATTTTCTTAGAAAAACAATTCTATTACCTAGGGAATCCCTAGCTAAGAATTTCTCTCTCCATTCTTGATATTTTTCACTAATTTCTTCGTTTAAAGGGGACTGGGTAATTTGTCATAGAACATTCCTAGATTTGTTTCATTTTCACCTATTTTATAATAATATGTTCAAATTCCATAATGTAATTGTCAACATATTTCATATTATAGATGGAAAAATTACTTAACTTCCTTTGATATTCCATTCGTTTTTCATTAGGATCGGCTCTGGGACAAATGAATTCTAACTCAATGTATTGACATAACTGTCTAAACATTCTAGTAGGTGATTCACTAGCTCTTAATGCAGTTTTGACTTCTTCCTCTATTCCGTCATACCAGTCTTCTACACATCCATAAAGACTATGTTCGATATAGTTTAAGAAATTTTCTGAAGTACAATCAGTGTTTAAATTAAGTACACTGCTCATAATCTTCTTCTAATGATCTAAAACATCTTGTCTATCTCTTACACCGTCTAACTTAAGTTTATAACCAGTTTGACTTATAGGTCTAAGAGTACTTCTTCTTGTTTAGGTATATGATTAGGCATAACCTTGACACTAAACCGGGTAGTCTTCCCTGGTATGTATCTTGGTCTTGTGCAACTTCCTTCTCCTTGATACCTAGGTCTTTGGATAACATTTTTTACGTTAATGTTTTCATTAATAATTTCCTCTCCAACATCATTATTATCCAGTACTCTTTTTCCTAGTTTGTTTTCAATCTTTTGTCGAACAACTTCTATGGGCAGAAAGTCTGGATCATTTAACTTCATTAATCTCATTTGTTGATATAAATCTTCCTCTAAAGTAACGTAATTACTTTCCTCTATTTCATTATCAGAAGCAATCCCTTTTTCAGAAATTAAGTTCATGATTTCGTTAAGCTTATTAGGGTCTTCTTCTTTATCGAATAGGGCTTGTAATTCGTTAAGTGTTTTCTCCTGAAGATGAGGGTTCATCTTTAGTGTCTTTATTCTTTTCTTGGTTACTTGTAGGTCTTTTAGGGAGTGATACAGTAAACTTTTTATTTTTATCTAGATTTTGAAAAGGGGATACTTATATTTATACGGGACAATTTTCTCTTTATTTGGTGATACTTCTTTTCCGAATTGATGTCTAACTTTGTTTGTTAAAGCAAGTTGAACTTGTTTAACCTGTTCTTTTAGATCGCTTACTTTTTTATTAATATCGGTTGTGGTTATTGATATTTTATTCTCGATATTAATACAACGAGCATGTATGTTATCAACTTCCGATTTTAATTGACCAAGTTGATCCACTATATAATTAAGGACTGGGCCAAAATTACTAGTATTTTCAGGAATGTGATAATAATGCTTAAAATCAGGTTTCTTATACTCAGTAGAAGGTCTAGTATTCTCCAATGTTACTTAATTTATCTTTTAACTGTATGGCTCTGATACCAAATCACGCAGCTTAATAGTTTCTAATTTATAATAACTGTATTGTCTTCCATAATAACATATTTCACTTATATAATAACAATATACAAATATAATACTTAATTTCTAACACAAATACTTATTCTTTTAAGGAAATTTTGACTTTTGCTACCTGTGAAACAACTCGATTTCAATTTCGCTACCCATCAAAACTTTTATTTTATTTTACTACCTATCAAATCCCCTGTTTTTAATTTCGCTAGCAGTTAACGGAATCCGTTAATAATTCCGTTAGTGAGATCCAGCCACCCTCATTACCACCTTCCGGCCACCACTCCCTCCTTAGCCACCCCTGCCACCCCTCCCTCAACTACCACCCCCTCCACCACCCTCATCCATCACTACCCACCTCAAGCCAGCCACCCACGTCCCTCCACCACTTTCATCCATCACTGCCCACCTCAAGCCACCCACCCACCTCCCTCCACCACCCTCATCCATCACTGCCCACGAAACCCTCGAAAGCACCCACCCACCCACGAGCCCAAAAATGCCCAGCTCACGAACCCCACATGCGAGACCACTCCATCGCAACACCACCCCATCGCGACCTAACCCACCCGTGACCCAACCCACCCGCGACCCACCATACCCACCTGCGACACCTCCCAGCCACTCGAACCCCCTTAACGAAACCCCTAAATTTTGAAATCAAATTGGGGGAAAAATTAGGGTTTTTAATTTTTTCGAATCAAACTCATTGATTTCAAAACAAAAACAACAATTAAATACATGATTTTGCAATTCAAATGTAAACAAACAAAATCCCTAAAACAATTTCGACAATATTGTTCGAATTAGCCCAAGTTCGAACCAATTTCGAAGGAGGGAGATGGGTGGGTGGCTTGAGGTGGGCAGTGATGGATGAAGGGGAAAGGGGGTGGTTTATGTTCGGGATAGGGTCAGGGCTGCGTAGGGAAAGGGGGTCAGGGCTGCGGTAGGGGTGGGGGAAAGGGAAAGGGGGGCGGGCTGCGTAGGGAGGGGGTGGGTTCGTGCGCCGGCGCCGGCCGAAACTCTGGGTGCCGGCCGCCGACAGGGGGGAGGGAAGGGGTGGCGGTTGTAGGGTAGCAGTGGTGGCTGGTTTTTTTTATTTTTAATTTTTTAATTTTTAATTTATTATTATTTTTTTAAAAAAATAATAAACTTAACGGAACCCTAACAGATTCCTTTAACGGGTAACAAAATTTAAAAAAGTGCATATGTTAGGTAGTAAAATAAAATAAAAGTTTTGATGGGTAGAAAAATTGAAATCGAGTTGTTTCACAAGTAGCAAAAGTAAAAAAAATCCTTCTTTTAATATATAAGTACTACTGAAAAGAGCAAAATTACACCTCAAAAACAATATTGAAAAAACATAAAACAGTATTAAAATTTTTTTTAACAGGCTTAAACTCAAAATAACAGTATTAAAATAGGAAATGATGTTTTTCAAACACTTAACGGATTTTTTTTTTTTCAATGGTGGTATGGACCTTCCTAGTCCCTACCTGGTAGTGGGCAATACTTTCTCCACTAATTATAATTTGAAACAGTTACTCTCTCTCTCTCTCTCTCTCCATAAGACTTAATAAAAATTATCTACGCTTTATTAGTAAAGAATTAGTGATTGAATGTAATTAAATTACCTTCCACGGATTTAATTTAGTTGTCAAATTTCAACTTCTAATGTCCCACTTTGTATTACGTTAGTAAAGTTTTCAACAACAAAATCATTTGATGTACCCCTAAATTCAATCTTAATTGGTCAAAAGTTAATCTAAATGGTGAGAAGCATCACAATAAATAATGTTCCCTTTATTTATTTTTTTTTCCTTTTCCTTGAGTATTCCAACTTGGTGAGATGAATTTGTCAACTGACATTGCTATATCAAATCACACCAATATGAAAAAAAACAAAAAAATATCCACATGAAGCACACAAGATATGCTCGAGGTTTGATCAAATCTTCAAATTTAAAGCACACAAGATTTGCTCGAGTGGAACGGCTAAGACCACCAGAGTAAGATGAATCTTGAGTATAATTATTTACATTGCCAGAAAACATGGTACAGTACCTAGACGCTGACCAGATAACACAATGTAATTTACAAAATAACAAGGTTAGTCCTTAAGTAAGAAGAGTGACTACAAACTGAAAGCTAGTTTCCCCAACCTTCGGCATCACATCTATAGTCAGACCATTAATTTCCCCAAGATCCACCTTGACCTGCATTCTTAGATACATCATTACCCCAGCCGCTTTTTTTATTATTGCCTCCACTACCCCGAGATGAACCACCTCCACTTGCCTTATTCCCATCCTCTTCTTCTGCTTCATTACCATTGCCCCAGCCCTTGCTACTGCCTCCTGTGCTATTGTCAACAATTGTTTTATCACTGCTCCCGCCACCCCATGATGATCCGCCTGCACTTGGTTCATCACTGCTTCTGCCTCCCCAAGACGATCCGCCTGCACTTGGTTTATCACTGCTCTTGCCTCCCCAAGACAATCCGCCAGCACCTGGTTCATCACTGCTTCTGCCTCCCCAAGACGATCCGCCTGCACTTGGTTTATCACTGCTCTTGTCTCCCCAAGATGATCCACCTGCACTTGGTTCATCACTGCTTCTGCCTCCCCAAGACGATCTGCCTGCATTTGGTTCATCACTGCTTCTGCCTCCCCCAGACGATCCGCCGGCACTTGGATCATTACTGCTTCTGCCTCCCCAAGACGATCCGCCTGCACTTGGTTTATCACTGCTCTTGTCTCCCCAAGATGATCCGCCTGCACTTGGTTTATCACTGCTCTTGCCTCCCCAAGATGATCCGCCTGCACTTGGTTTATCACTACTCTTGCCTCCCCAAGACGATCCGCCTGCACTTGGTTTACCACTGCTCTTGCCTCCCCAAGATGATCCGCCTGCACTTGATTCATCACTGCTTCTGCCTCCCCAAGACGATCCGCCTGCACTTGGTTTACCATTGCTTTTTACTACCCAAGATGATTCTCCTGCACTCGGTTCATCACTGCTTCTGCCACCCCAAGACGATCCGCCTGCACTTGGTTTATCACTGCTCTTGTCTCCCCAAGATGATCCACCTTCACTTGGTTTCCCCCATCCTTCATCTTCCCTACCAGTATTAAATCCTTTGCTCCAACTACTTTTATCTCCACTTGTTTTATCACCACTTCCAGTTCCCCAAGAACTACCTACACCTGGCTTTCCCCATCCACTGTCTTCCCCACCCCCATTAGTACCCCTTCCTCTGCTCCAACCGCGTTTATCTCCACCTGTTTTATCGTCACTACCACCTCCCCAAGATGTACCACCTTGGCCTTCATTTTTCCAGCTTGGAAATTGCCCTCGACCACCTGATCTACCACCACCACCTCTACCAGATTGATCACGGCCTCCACGGAAACCTCTGCCTCCTCTTCTCCCACCTGATCCTTGCCCCCAACCAGGCTCTTGATCACTTTCAGAGTTCCTTGAGGTACCATTCCAACCAGTTTGTAGAGAACTTCTGCAAATAGAGAAACAGATCAATTATCACTTTAATTTAAAGAATGTGTCAAGAGTATAGAGTAAGAAAGGGGGGGGGGGGGGGGAACCTACAAAATCAAGCAAGAGAACAAAGCTTGATGCAAAAAATTATTTTCTAAACAAGGGTTGAAACAAGATCCACAAGTGCCAATGAAAAAGAAGAAAAAAGGCCGGCACATTTTCTCCAAACATTTTGTCTAGGTATTTGAACCAAACACAGAAAGGAATGCAACTAGCAAATGTGTAACACAGGCAAGGGAGAGGAGTAACTGAAAAACTTAAGGTCCAAAAAATTATTTTATCTCAATTACACAGTGTAGCACAGAATCACTTTCCAAAAACAGGGAACTAGTCATCATAGATGACAACACAGGTAAGAGAAAGATCATACACCATCAATAGTAGCATATAAAATGGGATCTCAGATCTATTGGCTATCCAAATTAACGCCAAAACAAAGCCCAAAATCCAGCGAGTCAACCATGCTAAAATTTCTTATCAATTCATGCAGAAGAAAAACATTGTTATAAACAGCAAGCAAAAGAAATGCAAAATTTCCAGGTCCTACTCATATCATACAGCATTTTCAAAAGTAAAACATTAGCTAAAATTTAATTGGATTCAGATAAGGAAAGGGCATTAAATTTAAACTAAGATATTAAACAAATTATAAAGATATCACATACTTTTCTGAAGACCAACCACCACCATTCTTATCAGGTTCGTTCGACTTATTCCACCCTTTGCAGCCATCCCCCTTGTTGTCACTCCAGCTTTTGCCCTTGTCCCAACTACTTGCCAGTCCATCATTCTCTACAGATGAATTTCCCCAAGATGGCCCAGGCTGGTCCTTCCAGCCTTTGTTTCCAGAAGAATAATTATCTTGATTGTCATTACCAAATCCAGAAAATTGATCTTTGTCAAATGATATTCCTCTTCCTCTTCCATATTGATCACGGCCACGACCCCTCCCACTTGGGCCACGGCCCCTGTTTAATCCTCTATTATCCTCGAAGTTCTTTGCTTGCCCCCAGGAGTCATTTCCACCTTTATTATCAGCACCAAATCCTCTGCTCCAACTGCCCCCTGCACCATCTCCACCACTCTTCCACCCAGCAGAAACCCTCCCACGAGTATCTGTATTTTGCTCTTGTGAGTTTGTAAAACCCCCAGACCTAGTCTCCCATCCTTTGTTATGACAGAATGGATTATTAACAGAGCTTCCCCATCCATTTCCTCTGTTTGAATTACCCTGGTCGCCCTTCTTATCTACCACTTTTCCCCAAGGATCCTCAGATGGAACAGATACATTTTGCCCATCTTTTTGGCCCCAGCCCGTATTTGTTTCAGCCAAATCCACAGCTTGAGACTGCGAAACAGCTGCTGTGCTACCCCATCCGCTGATCTTACTTGATGTATTCTTTGTGCCCCACCCATCTGCTGCTTTACCCCAAGAATCTTCAGCTGGAGCACTAGGGCACTTAGGTTCAGCTGATGCAACCCCACCTGCTTTACCAAGGCTCTGTTCACCGGATTCCGAACCATTGCCCCAAGATGCACTTTTTGTACATGTTTTCTGTTTACCCCAGCCAGAAGATCCAGGGTCACCAGATGAACCAATATTGTTCCAACCTCCTTGCTCATCAGTACGTTTTCCACTGTCCCAAGAATCAGGCTGGCCCTTCTCAGCACTTTGACTCAACCAACCACTTGCATTTGCATTTTTTTGTCCCTGCATCCATGGGTCAGTCTCATTATCTGCTTTTTCTTGACTTGAACTGCATCCACCAACGCTCCATGAGTTTCCATGATCTCCAACAGGGGCTTTTCCTTTCCCCCAACCAACAGCTGTTTCATCACTGACAGCAACTTTACTGAGCCAAGCAGTATCTTCTACATTTTCAGATTAAATAAGAAAAGTAAGAAATGGTATGGCTATATTAGCTCACATAAATTCATTATCTTAATACTTGTTAAAGATAAAACCAGTCAGGAAAAAAAAAATTGATTACCAGCAGAAGAAGGTAGATCATTTGCAGCAGTACCTGCTTGAAGCTGCATTCACCAAAAGAAACATGGGCTCACTTTAAGAAATAGCATAAGCGCAGACAATGAATTATCAAAAGCTTCATTATTTATTTTTTAGCGTAGAGGCTGATGAGATGCATGTTAGGAAAAGAATAGCGTAAATCCACATGCAATGCAAACTAAGTAAATAAATAAATAAAGAAGGAACAATTAACCAACCGAAGCACCAGAGGACGGAAAGGCAGGCCAAGCACTCCTGCACACATAAATCAAAATCATCAACAATAATCACTAAGTCACAAACATTAAACAGCAGAAGAAAACATACACCAAAAGGATGTAGACAAGGATATGGAAGCTCCTATCGACACCAGCTTCTAACAGGCATTGTATATTTGCATATAAAATACTGGTTAAGCACGTGCAAAAGCAAGCAAACATAATGTCATACCCCGTAAACATTGTCACGATCTAGAATAGAGATTTTATATCAGCTCTCCCCCCTTCCCCCCCCCCCCCCAAAAAAAAAAAAAACAAAAACAAATATATATATATATATATATATATATATATATATATATATATATATATAATTTGCCAATTACTACCGCAAGTTAATACCACTTTATAAATTACTACCACAAATTAAAAAAGTTGTGAATTACTTCCGCAAAAAATTTTAAGATGTTGAGATTACTACCAAACCCCCATTAAACCCAACTATGACGTCATTATATCCCTTTAACCCGTGTTTGACCATGGTTATGGGCTTTAACCAGCCCCCCCCACCAAAAAAAAAGAAAATGGTTTAGGGATATAATGACGTCGTGGTTAAGGGCTTTAACCATGGGTTAAAGTGATATAATGACGTTATAGTTGGGTTTAATGGGGGTTTGGTAGTAATTGCAACATCTTAAAATTTTTTGCGGTAGTAATTCACAATTTTTTTAATTTGCGGTAGTAATTTACAAAGTAGTATTACCTTGCGGTAGTAATTGGCAAATTTTCCATATATATATATATATATATATATTGCTACTGTTGAGAGACGGTCTTTTTCATTGACAAATGATAAAAGAGGAAAAAAAACATTGACAAAGCATGCCGTTTAGTAAATAAATACCACCAGGTTCCATGAACAGTTTTATCTGAAGTACTTTGGTGTGCCTCCTGAGTGAAGAGGACGGTGTTGTTAGGAAATCTTAAGGTTACCCAGCTTAGTTGGCAATGGGAACACCATAATGCAAAAAAAAGCAGAAGAGCAGCCAGACTGGTTAAATTGTAACTAAAGGCTAAAGAAAGAGATACAATTCAGAACCTGTTTCGGTTGTTAAATCTAATGAAATCTACCTTAATTATATTTTAATAGATTTTGTAAATATGTGCCTAAATTGTTTTCAGAGTTTATGCTTCAGATTCAAGGACATACTTCTTTAAGTTTAGAGTAACAATTTGCTGCTGCAGTAGTAGTAGTCTACTGTCACCTAAAACTTCGGTGTGCCAGATATTGGAAACCATAAGCTACCCAGCTTAGGTATGAGCATAAGGTAGCAAAGGGAAGACCATAACACAGAAAGAAGCAAAAGAATAATAAGACTGTTTAACTGTAACTAGAGCCTAAGGGAATAGAATCCATTCAGAACCTGTTCAGAGGTTAATTCTAATGGATTCTACCTTAATTATATTTTTATAGATTTCGTAAATAAGTGCTTAAATTATTTCTGAGTTTATGGTTCTGTTGAAGGACATTTTTTTTAGTTAAGATTAACAATTCACTGTTGTACTCTACTTTCACCTAAAAACCTCAGTGCACCATATATTGGAGCTTCATAACATAGGTTCTTCCAGAACCATTTGCGCTGGCTGCTGTAGCATTTGCAGCATCATAATTTCAGCAGCTACATGGGTCATATTATTTAGAGGTTCGACAGCAACAACAACAACAAAAATACCAAGAACTGAACAGCTGTAGTGCTGTTCAAGGCTTTGTCAAGGGCAAGAGCTCATGATCACAAGAAGAATGGCAGGGTACAAGGAAACAAATGTCTCAGCTTAGCCATGACAGCTGAAAAGGGGGCCAACAGAGTGTCAGCTAAGTTCAACAATAGCAATTAATGGTTCAGATATTACTGGTGTACTGGATAGCACCTCACCAGTTGAGGAGAAGGATGAGCAGCAGGGAAGATAAACTAAAACAGTCGAGAAATATGTACTCCTTTGTTTTATTTTATCCCTACCTTTATAGTTTCCTGGTTAAAAATAGTCTGCTCTATATATATATAAATCATCTACCTTGTCTAAACAACTACAATAAACTTTCCGTGTTGGTTAAATTACCCCAATGCTCTTGCTATGCACTCTCTTTATTCTAAATCCCATGTGACCTACCAACCATCAAGGACAATTCAGTAAAAGAAAAAAAGATGTTAAAATTAACATGCACATAACTGAGCAAGGAAGATCGAAACAAGTGCATACCACCATTTAGGAATAGAGAACACCTCAATTACACTACCCGTATAGAGAAAGAGCATACCTTTCACTTGACAACCCTCCAACATTCCAACCATCACCAATTGTTGAACTGCTAGCTTGTGGTAACCAATCTTCAAAATTTAAACAAAAAAATTCAATATCAGTTTCCAATGCCTAGAACACAAACATCAACAAGAAATCATGGAAAGGGTGCTCCTTAAATCAAATTTCAAATAGGAAAATTGCAACAATATCAATACTGGTAATCAAGCTCATTTTTGCATTCTTAAAAAAAAAAAAAGAAAGAGCTCATTTTTGCACTTCGAATTTTTGAAAACACACATATTAAACTTGTCCAAAATAAGATACAAACAGAGTGCAACAGATGTATCTTTATCTGAATTTCTCAGCACCATACCAACAAATTTCAAAATGGTGAAACAAAGTAGAAACAAGAGGCAGATTTTGAGACAGATAACTGCCATACAGAAGCTGCAGTTTGGTTTCCATTATCATTCTTTTCTCTCTTTCAGAATTTCTGGTCAATCAACAAGGTTTTGTTTTGTTAGGAGGGTCTAATCATAACAATAATGCAATGACTACACTTAAATCATCTGGAGGATGTCTTTGAAGCAAGTATTGAACCTACTACCAATATTCTGGACTAAAATTTTTTAAATTCTTTGAACACCTCTTTCTAGATATATCCATCTGCAAGGTGTATTTGGAGTGATGTTGACATACCTATTTAACCAAAGGGCAAAAATAGGAAAGAGATTAATAGAAGAATCCACTAGGGAGGATGAAAGGGCAGAAAAAAACAAAAAACAAAATGAAAATTGGACATAAGCCCAGCATAATAGCCAAAACATCTTATAAATCATCTTAAACTTCCTCTAAAAAAGAATCCTTAAGGGCTGCCTTCGAAATGTTCAAAACGAACTAGAAATTCAGAAAAGTAAATTTTTTTTTTTTTTTGAAACCTTCAGAAAAGTAAATTGATTATATTGGGTACATGCAATATCCCATAACTGCAAACAAAAAGAAAGTGTAGCAGATTCCTACCGTTCGTGTTGCCTTCAGTGCCAAGTAAATCGAATGGTTTAAATGGAGAACTCGTTTCTGGATGATCTCTGTCACCAAAATTAATCATCAGAGCATGTTACAGCCAACTATACAAAAACCTGCAACTTAGAAAGAAGAATACCCAATTGCTGAGGCCGAATTCTTTCCACGAACCTCAGAAAGATGCTCTCGTTTAACTGTAGAACATTAGCCTCCATAAGGTACCCTTACAGTGTATAAAAGAAATACAACAGCCAGTATGGACAAACCTGTAAGAACCTTATGTTTGGAATCCAGTTTCACAGTGACATCAGAATAACGAACGGCTAAGACACGGCAGAGATATCCCTTTAAGGGACCAATTCGAATTCTTACTGACTGACCAACAGAGAATATTCCATCTTTTTCGGTCTGATCTGCTGCAGTAAAGAACCCAAGTATAAAATAAGGTCAAAAGGAAAGAGATACAATTTAACTTCAAGCATATAGCTCACATGCATACCATCAGCATTATTTCCTCTCTGCCATGGTTTTTGAGGAGACAAAGGTGACTTAGGAGAGGAAGGAACATCTTCAAAGCACGATGGCCCTCCGTCATCCTGTATGAGATCAAAACATCAACAAAATTGGACATCAGAAAACAAATGAAACATAAGGATGAACAGAAACCGCCAATACCTTTCCAAGACAAGCAGTGACAGAATGCTTCACTTTCTCAGTCATCTGGGATTTTGTGCAGAAATAAGCATTATCCAAGTCATCTTCATCATATAAAAAAATGATCCCCCTGTAAACTTGCTTCACAATTCCCTGCCGTCCCTGCAACAAGGATAAAAGAAACTTAATTGAAATAAGCATATATATCGGCAATCTACACTTTGCATCTGTTATAGATAGAACAGAACCTTGATGGGTCCCTCTACAATTCTGACAGTGTCATTTGTTGATATTGTCTTCATACGATGATCTAAAGCTGTAAATTTCTTCTCTAGAGGCACATACTTCAAATCTTTTTGTCCTAGATTCAATGTCGCTGGTCCTTCTAAACCCTCTTTTAAAATCTAAAATAGACAATGACATATCAGAAACAGGCAAAACTGCTATATTTATTGACCCCCCCCCCCCCCAATAACCACCACAAGTCCATCACCCAAAAAAAAGTTTTAAAAAAATTAATAAACCTTGTAGCTCTCATCCTTCTCTATGCCTACAACCATACCAAAATCTCTTTTCCTGCAAAACATGAAAACAAAATAAATGAATTTATTTTGATAAAGCAAAGCAGCCAAAATAGAGACAGAAAGTCTGAAAAATATGGCTCACCCAAAATGAACAAGATCATGGACTTCAAAGCTAGATTGCTCATGAGATCCAGATGAACCCTCTCCTTTACCACCTCCCTTACCACCTCCTTTATCAATATTCACAATTGACTTTTTCTTTGGCTCTCCATAAAGTTGTGAAAGCCACTCCAGATTACCAGAATCATCATTGCTGGAAATCGTGAACTTCTGAAGTTCATCTTGTGTGGGATTAATACCCCAAAAACTCAAAGAATCAATGGATACTTTCTTATACAAAAACCCATCTTTCAGCATCAGGCTATCAAGAAATTCAAACATTTTTCCAGTGTCGCGATCACGCCTGTATTGTATGAGAGGTCGAAACTCCCTGAGGTCAAAACTCAAAAGTCAACGTAAAATTAACAAAAGCAGCCTTATAAAATAAATAAATAAAAATGGACCATGCAAACTAAATAGCTACGACAAAAGGAGAGATATCAATTACTCCAGATCACATGAGCTTATCAATCTTGCTGCTGGTACAGTTCCCTTTGTTCTCTTTGAATTTGCACCACCACCCTGTATAACAAAATAAAATAATAATAAAATAAAATTAATAAATAAGAAATATATATATATATATATATATATATATATATATATATATTGCACCACCATTAACATATATACCTTTGAAAATCATAATAAAGAACCTGTTCTACCGATACTAAGTAAAAGAACTTGTAATAACAAACTTCTTATAAAGGACTTGGGACATCCACAAGAATACATAGTTTAAAGGGCATCCCATGCACCTTACAACTTTCACACAAGAAACCAATGATATTTTACAGCAGAAGATAAATGGTATGTAGCCTATAGCACGGAAAAACATATATTTTATGAGTCTTTGTAATATTAGTACTACTACAGTACTACCTCAACTTCACAATCTTGTTAACATATTCTGTCTGTTTCGTAACTTTCTTAGATATCTACTTATTATTCTATTGATTGAAAAACCCATAATACTACTATGTTACCCCAAGCCCCACAAAATTTTCACCTTTCCACTCATTCTCCTTACTTTATCCACCTATTTTTTACACCTACCCACCTCATTACACTCTCTTACTTCATCCACCTACCCACCTTATTACACTCTCTTACTTCATCCACCTACCCACCTTATTACACTCTCTTACTTTATCCACCTTTGTATTACACCCACCCACCTTTTTACAATCTCTCTCCTTTGCCTAAAATATTGTGCAAGCTAATAATGCTAAGAGCATTTTGAAACAAAGGTAGTATATTAAAATCTATGGCTCCATTGAAGTTAGGCTTTTATCTTATCCTTATACTAAGAAAGAGATGTTCACATAGAGTCCATAGTGCAATGCATAATAATTTCCTAATGCTTCACAGCATAATAATTTAATTGATCTACTACACTTACGTCCAATAGCTGCTAATGATTAGTGATTTTTAGGGTAAATGAGCTTGAATGTATATAAATCAAAGAAAATTGCAAGCACATTGTACTTTAGCAAATGTGTCTCAAAGTTACAATAGCTAGTCATGTTCATATTTAACAGATTAGTTGGCATACACAATATACTTGAAGAATGATAACTAGCTAGGCTCTCAAAATACATTACAGGTTTTCTCAACTATATGACATAACAACCTCCTCCTTGTTTACTTTATGTCCCTCTAAAGACCATAAAAAACTGGAGGATGAACAAAGTAATTGGACTTATTATTAAAAGTCTTTAAGATAAAGAATAGATAGAGAGATTCTTTTTAGGATGATTCAAGCCACACTCATTCAGTGTTTCTTTTCTTGTATCCAATTTTATTATGTCCCCTTTCAGGATGCCCATAAGTGTGAAAAAAACTAGGATATTAAAGTAAATTATGATAACCTTTCCACACTGTGATGACTTTTTACAAATTGAAGCACTCAAAACAACCCATAAACCCTAACTAGCAAAATTGCGGCCAATTTAACAACATTGTTCTCAAGTATAGTGCCCAGAAGTTAAGTGACGACAAATTTCTTGAAATTAACATGACATATCCCCTAACCTTCTTTAGCTTTGTAACCATCTTCATGCTTTCTAACCAGAAAAAGAAAGCAAGATTTAAAAAAATAGTGGAATGTCAAACTAACTGCACAGAGATACCTGACCACAGAAAATTCTACCTTCCCTGAAAATTCATGGTAATTGTAACACTCCAAATTTAAGAATGCAAAGTTTTGTAATTCTGATATGGTTGAAATCATGAACATTGTTGCAGAAACACTTTCACACAGAGTGTGTATGTTTTCCACTGTAATGAGCTATTGAGCTCAAAATTCTTTACAATACAAAATTTTAATAATTTTTTAACCATGAAATGATAGCAGTGCATCCCAATTTTTTACAGCTTAAAAGCTCAAATTTAAAAATGAAGACAATGCAAAGCAGCCCATGATTAACAAGTAAAGAAAGATACAATTACTTGGGAACCATAGTCATGAAGATGAATTTTCTCACATTGCAAAAGCAAGATCTTCATAGCATATCAACTAAAGGGAAATGGCAGCTATATTGCTATAAGCATGCCTACTGACTCACTTTGAACATTATTACACACGAGCATGAAGTAACGGAGTCAAAGTAATTTGCTAAGATGTGGAATGTCACATGATAATTTCAAAAAGTACGCTATGATAAAATCTTGTCTTAAAATATAAGAATTACTAACATGTTCGAAGCCAAAATCATATAGTAAAGAAACTCGGATATAAGACTAAGAATATTACATATTTTGCTGTAAGAGCCTGCAAATCAATTCTTGGGATCAACTTAACTGTTGCTCTTTTTCGCTCATTGTTGATAGCCACCACCTACAACAATATGAGGTCCAATTGAGAAGCAAATACTAGGACCTAATGTATGTTAGCAAGTTGTAATAAAAATCTACCAAACCTGTGCTAAGTCACCCCTGTAGATTCCATTCTTTACCCGTGCCCATGAACCCTCTTTGACTTCATGATACCTCTTTTTAACAACCAAGAGGTGACCAACTTCATTTGGCGGTACAGGTGTTACAAGGCTAAAGTATACATCAGCAAGCTGGTTACATGCCTAAAAATCCATTTAAATGAAGATTTTTTTAGACAAGAATGCACAGTGAGGCTAAATTGAAGAGAAAAGAGGGCCACTTAAATAAAATTACCTCTGCTACATCAGACTGCCTTTCTGCTTCAACAAATACAAATCCTTTAATGTGCTCCACAGCAAATGCAGATATTATCTGCAGCTTTGTTCCTAAGACTTTCAAATCTACATACTTTTGAATCAGGCAAAACACAGTATTTTTTTCTCGCCCAACCTACATGTAGAGGAAAAGTAGTGTTCATAAAATTAAATTGTGCAAAATAGATGGAGACATAACAATGACATTTAGAGCACGTTTGGTAAGAGTACTTATTTGGTTGGAAACGGATTCAACTAAACCATCATCATTACTTCGTGTTTGGTTAGAAGGTTTAGGCAACATTTACCATTACCTAGGGATAAAGGTTTCCACCTAATTGTTACCTCTCTTACCCTTACCCTCCTCAAACAAAAAAAGATGAAGTTCCCCTCTTTTATTTGTTTTCTTTCCACTCCATTTCCAATATTCATACCAAATGCTCCCTTTAGTGATGAAATAAAATAAATATTTGAGAATAGCCATTTAATTTTGATGCCAAGAGTAAATCATACCTTACATTTAACCTTCCAGATGGTCGGTTCCCCAGAAGGCATAAGTTCACTATTGTCTACAGATCTTTTAGACTCATTATCATCTTCAGCATACCTAACATACCCCCTCCTATAACGCTCTGTTATCATTTTCTCCAGTTCATCACCACTCAACTCTTCTTCTTTAGGGATAAAAGGGACCTGAACAAATTTTCCAGGCTCACTTTTGACTTTAGGATCCTCTAAATAATCGGCCAAGAAATCTGGTCAATAACACAGAGCAGAGATATCAGTTGGAATGGATTGCACAAAGAACCGATAAATAATTAAATATTCACACGCCAGCAGGAACACATGTTTATGCTAATGTTTCTAAAATAGGAAAGAAACAATACTAACAATTAAAACACACAAATTTCATTGTAAAATTTTCATTAACTTAACCAACTACAAGAAACAAAGGCATTGAAATTTTGAATCATCCAAAAACACGTCAAAAAATTTAAAAAAAATCATAATAATGACAATAAACAAGCAATTATGCACTACAGTTTAACAATAAAACCACCTAGATTTCTTGAACCAATTACAGTACAAATGGTGACCCTGAACCCCAAAATTCAGGGAAAAGAGCTTCAAAAATGCTACTGTAAAAGATTACCAGACACCACCAAAATCACAAATAAAAATACCCCACTCAATTTTTTTCTATTTTAAACCAAAGGAAAATTTATCAGGAACTACACGCTTAATAAGGGTATTTGAAAATAACTACCCACTAAAAAATTTTATCAAAAAAACTACCCCCTAAATTTAAAAAGTTAGAGTAGCACTACCCATTTGCATTTTCGGCGAGAATGTCCGGCACATGGGCCCACTTTTTCAATTTTTCTCTGAAAAGACACGATGCAATGACAAATTAGACCTTAATTTGTAACTCTAAGATAACCAATTTGAATTAAAAGTAATAAATTCAACCAATTTCAAATTATCCCCAATTTCTAAGAACCCTAATTTTTCTAATCGTTACACCCTAACATCAAAATTCATAATTAATGGATTAAAAGAGAAGAATTACCTATGAATTGCATACCCTACTTGTTTTCACTTCGTTTCATAAGAAAAATTGAAAAAGTGGGCCCCACACGCCGGACTTTCTCGTCGGAAAATGCAAATGGTTTTTTTGATAAATTTTTTTAGTGGGTAGTTTCCAAATGCCCCTATTTAGCATTTAGTTCCTAACAATTTTTCCTAAACCAAATACCCACATTTCTCATTTTTCAACAAGCACCCACATGTCTTATTTTTCAACAAGCACCCACCCACATTTCTTATTTTTCAACAAGCACCCACATTTCTTTCTTTCTGTTTTTTTAAAGTGGTTCTTCAACCTGTAAACTATGGAATGTGGGTGCGTCTTCCAAAAATAAAAAAATAAAATAAAAAACCTTCGTAATATAGCATAAAACATACAAATAAATAAAACCAACAAGCCATAAAATTTTAAAAATTTCAGGAACACCCAAAAACATTTATCCATAACTACGTAAGAAAAAAAAAAAAAAAAAAACCCACCCAGATTCCAGAAATTTTTACATGCATAAACCCTTAAAACCAAAATTGAGGTAAAGAAGATAAATGTATGTTAATTACACAAAATCAAGTTGATATGAAACCCTAAAAAATGATGTCTTTACAATTAGAAGAGAATCGGAAAATGAAAGAAAAATTAAACCAAACCATCATCAAAAAAGTCATCGCTGCCGCTATCGCTGGCACCGCCATCTTCAACGGCAGTGTCTTCGAAGAACTGTAGAATGCTGCGATTTCTCTTGCTTTTACCACCATTACCGTCGTCTCGTTTTCTCTTTCCGAATGAATCGTTACCGTCGGCTATTCCCTTCCCTTTCGACGCCATTTCTGAGCAGGTCAAGAAGATACTGGCATGAGTAAGAGCATACACTAGAGAGAAAAGAGTGAGAGAGAGAGATGTTTAGTGTGATCGGCTTCTGGGTCATTGAATTTGTTTGACGGGTTCGTAACTTCGTATTATATGATATTTTTTCTGCGTTATTGTAGGTGGTTAAAGTTTGACCGACATATAATTTTAGACAATTTAATTGAATTAAATAAAATAAGAGGTAAATAGGGTAGATGGAGTATACAAAATTATAAAAGAAAGATAATGGAGTACGATATTTAAGATGATTTGCTTATGGCCATGTTTGGTAAATGGCTTTTAGGTGGCTTTTTGGTTAGCTGTTGGCTTTTGGCTTTTTTATGAGGTCAACAGCCAAAAAATATGTTTGGTAATTGGCTTTTTAGCCAGGAAAAAGCTGGCTTTTAAGCCAAAATGAAAAAGCTGCTTTGAGTAGCTTTTTTGTTGGCTTTTGGCTGGTTGGCCCACAAATTATCTAATAAACAGCCAACTACCAACAATTAATTTACCAAACACTTTTATCAGCTTTAACAGCCAATTTCAAAAGTCATTATAAACAGCCAGACATACCAGCTGGTCAAATAAGCCAAGTGAACCAGCCAACAGCCAACCGCCAACAGCCAACAGCCAATTGCCAAACAAGGCTTATATCAATTATGATTTCTGAGGTATTTTCTATTTTCTTTCCTAATATTTATGATAGTGTCTTATTAGAGCTATATATTTGATCTTTGATGTTTAGTGACAAGCTAGGGTTTGTTATTAATCTTGTTAGTATCATGCCTAGGATCTTGCTATTATTATGCTTTAACATGATTGTGATAATTATGATTGTTATTAATATGATTATAATCATGATTATGGTTATGATTATTCTTATTATTATTTATGATTGTTATTATGTTGCTTGATATATTTATTATTATTGCTTGATCACGCCTTTTATGCATATTTAAAGGGAATTGGTACTTGTAATCACACTTAATAAGATATTTAATAATATTGTTTAGGGTTAATTTGACATATTCATTCTCTTTCAATCTTTTTCATCATCAGCTTAATTGGCAACCACCACCACCACCACCACTACCACCGAATCTCCACTTTATTTACCCAGAATTTCTCTCTCTTTGTTCATCTCCCCCGATCTCCACTCTACCACCGATCTCCATCGCAACCATGGCGATTGCTCTTTTCGCCGGAACTCACTACCGATGCCCTCTTGCTTGTTGTAGCCTCCGTATTCTCTTTCTTCCTTTTCTTGTTGTTTTGTCATTGCCGATGTGTGTTCATGGTTTGTTGTGGGTTCGCTAATTTTCCAGATCTGACGATTTTATGGGTTCCATGGATTTGTTGAGGGTTTGCTGGGTGGTTAGTGATAGGTGGTGGTGCTGGTTTGTAGTTCGTGTTGGGTGGTGGGTTGTGAGTTTCGGGGTTTTGGCTGGTGGATCTGGGTTCGTGGGTTGTGCCTTTCGGGGTTGTGGGTGGTGGGTTTTAGGGTTGTGGGTCTGGATTCGTGGGTTATGGGTTTTGGGGTGGTTGGTGGTGGGTTGTAGTGGGTTCGGCAGCTTTGCGAAGGGTTCGCAGGTGGTGCTGGTTCATTGACTGTGGGTTTGCAAAGGGTTCGTGCTAGGTTTGTTAATCGTGGGTTTGCTGGGTCCGTTGGTGGTGTTAGGCTCGTTAGTGGTGCGCTAGGTGGGGCTGTTTTCGTGGTTGGGGTTTTGGTAGGTGGTGGTGGTTTCGTGGTTGTTGTGCTTGGTGTTTAGTTTTTGTTTATTTTTTTAATTGGATTAATACTAATCACATCTCCTTATTTTCCAATAATTACACTTAAGATATTTTGCTTGGGAGTCCGCGAATTCCCTCTTGTTGCGAGTAACTCGTAACGGAGGGAGTATTTGTATATTGTTATCATATAAGTGAAATCTGTTATTATAAATTGGAAACTGTTAAGCTGCGAGATTTGATATCAGAGTCATACGGTTAAAAGTTAACTAAGTTGTTAATTAATAAGTAATAAAGCTGGAGAATACTAGGTCTTCTACTGAGTGTAAGAAACCTGATTTTAAGCATTATTATCATATTCATGAAAATACTTGTAATTTTTGGGCAAATCCTTAATTTAAGCATATAGTAGATCAAATTGGTGAACTAAGATCTGAGGTTGATAAAATTCATGCTCGTTATATTAATATTGAAAACAAAATATCAATAATTAAATCGATATTAATAAAAAAGTAAGTGATTTAAAAGGACAGGTTAAACAAGTACAACTTGCTTTAACAGATGAAGTAAGACATCAATCTATTAAAGAAGTATCACCTAGTAAAGAAAAAAAATTATCCCGTATTGTAGACACCTAATTGTGTCTCCCTAAAAACCAAACTCAGTGATGAGTACCTTTCACGTCATTTGATTATCGAACGAAGTGAAAGTGTACAAAGTTTTGCGATGCGGGATTGCTTTTATAAAAATAACTCTTCTTTCTGTTTTAAAAATGTACTCTGTTTTATGAAAATGTCCAATCCAATTTAGTTTGGTCCATAATAAGGGTCCAATAATAGTGTAGTAGGATTGTGTTTCGAGGGTTTTTGGAATCCCTCGGGACACTGGTCACGTACTACTAGCAATGAGACTTGACACCTGCAAAACAACGAATATTCTGTTACCGGAATATTCGCCTCCGATGGTTAAGCTAGTAATCGGAAACGGAGAATCTAGAGAGAGAAAGTAGAGAGAAGCTGGAGCTGTTTTGATGCTCTATTAAATGTTATGTCATTATCCACCCCTCCCATCATAAATGATTAGGGTATTTATAGGGGTGGAATTTGTGCCCCTTTATGGTTTGTGCCCTAAATTTTCGTGTGTTGATTGGCTGCGCAATCAGGTATTGACACGTGTCACCTGGGGGCGCCGTTTTGCGACTTTCTACAGGAATCTCGGGATTTGGGCTCTGATGTAATAAAGGCCCCCTTTTCTTTCGTTTCAGGTGCTCTTTGTGAGCTTATTACACACATCATCTTCCCATTGGGACACGTGTCACCCTTTGATTGGGCCACGTGTCACTATGGGATTGGACCACGTATAAGGGCTATTTTACTCTAAACATTTTCTCCTTAGAGGGGGTGGCGTGTACATTATTGGCCGCCTCCTCTTATCCTCATCCTTCCTACCTCGTCCGCATAGGAAGATCTAAGGCATATGGTAAAACAGGCGGACAGATCTGTTCGCTTATGTTGATGGACGATTGTCCTTGGGCATAAAGCTTATATTGTCCGCCTATTATTCCTCAATTGGACGGCTAAGTCTGGGAATTAGAAGGGAGATCGGACACCTAACTCTTTAGGAGGGTAATTTACACCTTGCGGACGTGGCCATCTATTTGGTCATGTCGTTTAGACGTCCGTCTCTTTTTCCCTCTAAGTTAACAAGGGTTCTTTTTTAACCTTTTGAATTCTAGGTTAAAATTTTCAAATAATAACCGTTTGAATGTCAAGGTGGGAAAGATGAATTTACCATCTTGCCCCCATAAATTCTACCTATAAATAGAGAGGGTTTGATGTCATTTTGACACTTTGGAACTTTGCGAATTTTAGAGAGAAGTCAGAGCTTTTTAGAGAGAGAAAGTGATTTCCTTTGAATCTTTGAGAGCTCCGTCGTTCGCTTGAGTATTCCGTCCAGAGTTTGAGGTTTTCGACCACCATCCAGAACTTTCTACACGGACAGAGGTAGGTCGTCTACTTTCATTCCTTTACTCTTCTTCTTCTTTTCTTTTTTTTAACTGGCTCCAAACTCGACTTCGTCTGTTTCTCCTCATGAGGTCGACTGTTCACCTGGGACTGAGGAGTCTACAGTGGAAGGAGACAAGTTATATCTTTCATGGAGTGGGTCCATTTCTAGTGAGTACCAACTCTTATCCACCTCTTCTTCTCTGTCCCTAAAGTCGAAGATGGCCCGTACAATGCAAACATACGATAAAGACACAAAGAGGAATCCAAACGGTATTCTGGTCCATCCTAGGGTCCCTTATGACCCGTACAATGTTAACTCCCAAACTGACACTACTACCAATACCGCATCTACTAGAGGTACTGAATGCTCAGTGGTCGAAGTGACCGCCTCCTTCGAAGAGCGCTAAAGGACTCAAGGCGCCTCTTCTCCTAGGGGTGCGTCCGGGCAAACACCGGAGCAAAGGTATCCCCAATATGCCAACACGGTCATGGATCCTGTCGAGTTGCTATATTGGGAGAGACCTCCTTTCTCTTTTGGGGCGGACAGGGCTGGATTGTCCGCTCCATTTTCTGAACCACCCTATCTCCAACATAGCAGGTCGGACATGCCTAGGACTGGGGTTATCATCAATGAACCGTCCGACCTGCCACCTCGTTGCAACCCTTCTTCGGGAAATCGGGCGGCCGTCGCAAAGGATAAGGGCAAGGGTCCCTTACTTCTTGAGGATTCAGCTATCTCTAGGGCGCCCATGGCTCCAGAAGCAGGAGTTCGGCGAGGATGCCGATTTAGACAGAGTTCTGTCCTCTGAATTTGGAGCCACTCCTCACCCTGGGAAAGAGGAGGCAGAGAACATGACCGAGGGCGAGGTAGCGGCCGAGGAGGTCGTTGCCAATGTTGATACATTCAAGGACCCGTACGCCTGTATGGTGGGTAGCACGGCCTTGGGATACCTTAATGATGGCTTGGAGGAATACAAGGTGTATAGGATAGCTCCCACTAAACTATCGCCTGATGGAGTCATCCCACAGATCTAACCAGGCTAAACTCTCCATAAAGGAGATAGTACACCTATAAATAGAGGGTAAGGTACAACGGAAAGGGGGTTAGACACTCAAGTTATTGTACTTTCTATATCTTTCTAAGTACACTTTCTCTCGTTAAACACTCTCTAACTTAAGCTTCGGAGGGGGGTTCCTCGAGCCACCCCCGAGGGCAGTTTACGTGTGCTGTCGTGTGTAGGTTGTCGACGGGACCCAGCTCATCCAGCAGAACCCTTGGATCCACACCTAAAACAATTTGCGCTAGAAGGAGGGGTAGGATCATCTAACTAGAGGTTCACCAACTAAGCTAGGGACTAGTTGACAAACCACCATGGCCGAGGAGGAAGTTGTACAAACACCCATACCCAAAGCTAACGACACCAACCAAACACCACAAAAAACACCAGCAGCAGCTGTCGATCCGAAAGGATCCGCCGAAAGACCCTAATTAACCGTCTCACAAAAATCCAGCCCCATCGGAGATTGACGTCAGCTGCACCTAAAGCAACGTTGAAACCAGTCAATCCGACAGGATCCAGTTCCATTTTCAAATACGGAATGCCGTTGACAGGCGTGAACAATGACCCATTGTTTCATCACCCATAGCCCAAAAACCACAACCCGTAAACATGCCATCCATCCTACAGAACCTCTCTAAGTGCAGTAAAGAACAGCTGGCAGCAATGACGGCAGTCCTTGCCAATATGGGTAAGGGGACGAGCTCATCACCGACAGCGGCAGCTGCGGAGCCAGTAGTAAAGAAGCCAACACCTCAATCCTCACCCCCGAGCAGAAGGTGCTCGTTCAGTTGAGGAAGAAGGTATTGGAGTTGGAAGCTCGCAATCTGAACCGAGAATGGAGTGTGGAGGAAATAGCCCAGACTGGGATAAGCCCGGAGAGGCGAGTTCCCCGCAGTAGGTCACCAGCCTCAGAGCGGGGACCCAGTCCGGACAAAGACAAGTGTGCGCGGATCCAGGTTGTTCTAGATGATTCCCCATTTTGCCGGGTGATTCTAGAGGAATCGATGGAGAAAATTAAGATGTCGAGCTGTAGATACAATGGAATCACAACACCTAAGAGCCACATATCAGCCTTTGAGAACCACATGGTGCTCTATACCATGACGGATTCGGTTTGGTGCAAAGCGTTCCCACCGACCCTAGAGGGGTTAGCCGTGGAGTGGTGTGGGGCCATTCCTAAAGGTTCCGTATACTCGTACAATCAGCTGAAGAGGATGCTCATGGAGCATTTTATAACCCTGGTAGATCGAACTAAGATGACAACTAAGCTGATGTCACTACTTCAAGGGAAGGATGAGCCCTTGAGGGAGTTCATCACCAGATTCAATAAGGAGGCAACAACCATTCCGAATATGAGCTAGAAGGTAGCATTGTTGGCCATGCAGAGCGGCTTGCTGCCAGGATCACCATTCAGAGCGTATATGGGGCATAAGAGCCTCAAAACGCTTGCTAAGGCGCTGGGCAAAGCTCACGAGTTCTTCAAGGCGGATGAAATTGACAGAGCAATGTTTAGCAGGAAGGCGCTAGGCGACCTAGTTAAGCGGGCAGAAGTCACCCGGATAGAAAATATAGCCAGGGCTGACCAGCCAAGCAGAGCTGAACAAGGTCGAAGAGAGGCGGACAGAGCTGTAGGGGTAAGAAGGGCATATCCGAAGAGAGGAGGAAGGCCAGAAAGGTTCGACCAATATACCCCACTAACCCACTCGAGGTCTCACATCTTTAGTGTGAATAAAGCTGATGACAAATGGCAGATACCCCCGAGAATGGTTAATAGGAGTCGTGATCCCAGCAAGTGGTGTGACTTCCATAGGGACCATGGCCATACCACTAACGAGTGCACGCATTTGAAGGATAACATAGAAGATCTGGTCAAGAGAGGATACCTGAATCAATTCAAGCAGCATGTTGATCCTCCAAGAAGAAGGGATGAAGATAGAGCAGGTCGTGACTGCAGAGGAGGTCACACGGGTCCCACTGAAGATAAGGACAGAGACAGTAAGCCAGAAGGCAGAGTGTATGTGATCAGTGGAGGACCAGTGCATGGGGGAACATTGAACAAGGCACGAGCAGACCTGCGGGCAATGATACATCAGATAAATTACAATGAGAAGCGCAGATGTCCACCACTTCCCCCGCAGCCGCGAGCTACATTTGATGAATACGATCAAGAAGGCATAATCTACCCTCATGATGACCGGCTGGTGGTGACAATGAGAATACCAAATTGGGAAGTGGATCGAATACTGATAGACGGGGGTAGCTCAGCCAACATCATATACATCAGCGCGTTCAAAGAGTTGAAGTTAGACAGAAAATATCTAAAAAGGGTGAGTTATGAAGTCACCGGGTTCAACAGATTCGGATTGACCCCGGAAGGCATAATTGAGCTCCCAGTTCGAGTAAGGGAAAGGTAAAAAAGACATGATGTTCGAGCAGAGTTCCTGGTGATAGACTCTCCTTCACCATACAATGTAATCATGGGAAGGCCGCTCATCCACAAGATCGGCGGAGTGGTTTCCACCTATCACCTCACCATGGCCTACACAACTAATGAAGGGCGGTCAGCAAAGCTCAGGGGAAGACAAAAGACAGCCTAACAATGCTACATAACTGCTTTAAAGCAGCCCGCCAGGATCAGGCAGCAGCCGATCTCAGAGCAAAGATCTCTTGAGCAGCCTGAGAGAAAGTAAAGGAAAAGGAAGCGTGAAGAATACCATAGGGAAAAGGATAAGCAAAAGTTGGCCATGGAAAGTTTTGAGCCTGCAAAAGAGGAGATGGCCAGGCCACTTCCCAGCGGGGAGCACGTTACAATTGAGCTCACCGAGGGCGACCCATCAAGAATGGTGAAAATCGGGAAGGATATTGATCCAGTTGTAGGGGTACACCTCATAGAGCTGTTGAGGAAGAACAAAGATATCTTCACGTTTTTAGCATATGAGATGCCTGGAATTGACCCCGGAGTCATGGTCCACCGGCTGAATGTGAGAGAAGATATCAAACCAGTAAGGCGGAAGAAACGAAGCTTCTCTACGGAGAAAAACCAGGCCATCCAGGAGGAAGTAGAAAAACTTTTGGAAGCAGGATTCATTGAGCCTTGTGATTATCCAGAGTGGTTAGCCAACGTAGTCATGGTCAAGAAGGCGAATGGTCAGTGGAGAATGTGTGTTGATTTCACCGACCTCAACAAAGCCTACCCGAAGGACTGTTACCCGCTGCCACGAATAAATCAGCTTGTAGATTCAACCAGTGGGCACGCCCTGCTGAGCTTCATGGACGCCTTCTCAGGATACCATCAAATCAGCCTGCACAGTCCAGATAGGCAGAAAACCGCATTCATCACTAAAGGGGGAGTGTACAATTACATAGCTATGCCCTTTGGGTTGAAGAATGCAATACCAACTTTTCAGAAAACAATGGATAGAGTGTTCATGCACTAGAAGGGTAGAAATGTGGAAGTATATGTTGACGACTCAATTGTAAAGAGAGTCACGTAGGCAGGGCATATCATGGATTTAGAAGAAACATTTGCCACTCTGAGCAAATACAACATCAAACTCAATCTGAAGAAATGTGTCTTCGGGGTGAGTTCAGGAAAGTTCTTAGGCTTCCTGATCAGTGAAAGAGGAATAGACACAAATCCGGAGAAGTTTAAGGCAGTCCTAAGCCTACCTGAGCCTAAGTGTATCAAAGACATCATGCGATTGACAGGTAGAATGGCCGCACTAACCAGGTTCATCAGCAAGTCAAGAGACAATGCCTGCCGTTTTACCAGTTTTTGAAAGGGAACAAAGAATTTAAGTGGGGAGCCGCAGAAAGAGAAGCTTTTGAGGGTATTAAGGAGCATCTGACTAAGCTCCCAACAATGATCAGCCCGGAGCTGAGGGAAAAATTGCAACTGTACATTTCCGCATCAATTCAAACAATCGTAGTTGTCCTCTTGGTAGAAAGACACAAACAACAAAGGCTAATATACTTCGTGAGCCACGTACTAACTGAGGCAGAACAAAGGTACCCATTGGTAGAGAAACTGGCCTTCGTAGTGGTAACAACAGCAAGGAAGTTGAAACCATATTTTGACGCGCACATAATACAAATCCTCACAAATCACCCACTGGAAAAAGCATTGTAAAAAATGGACGCATCAGGCAGACTCTTGATATGGGCCATCGAGCTTTCTGAGTATGAGTTGGAGGTCAAACCTAGGGCAGCCATCAAGGCACAAGCCTTAGCAGATTTCATCGTGGAAGCCTCTTATGAGGAGAAGGAAGACGACGTTGGGATCTGGATGGTAGAAGTAGATGGATCCTCAACCCAAACAGGGAGCGGAGCAGGAATCATAATGACATCCCCAGAAGGAAATGTATTTGAGTACGCCATAAAGTTCAAATTCAAAGCATCAAATAACGAGGCAGAATACGAGGCAACGCTGGCAGGTCTGCGTATGAGTATCGCAGCCAGAGCCAGGAAAGTCCATCTGCAAACTGACTCCCAGCTTGTCGCCAGTCAGCTAAAGGGGGCGTATGAGATTAGGGAGCCCACCATGTTGAAATATGTAACTAAATTAAAGGAACTGGTAGCCCAGCTAGTTCACTTCCAGATAGACTTGGTCCCTAGAGCGGGAAACTCCCAGGCTGACGCCTTATCAAAGTTAGCCAGTTCTACCCTGCAGAGCCTTACGAGGATGGTGGAAGTCTTGGAAGAAAGCAGTATCGCTGAAAAGGAGCAGGTGAACTGCATTGGGCAGCAGCGAACTAAGTTCACAGACATTCTGGCATACAAGGTTCATGGCTCGTTACCAGACAACGAAGTGCAAGATAAGAAGGTAATGAAAGACGCCAATTGGTACGTGGTAATGAATGGGGAGCTTAACAAGAAGGGCTTCTCAAAACCACTGCTGAGGTGTATCCTAGAGTGGGAGCAGGAAAACATTATGGAAGAAGCCCACTCAGGAATATGTGCCAACCACATTAGTGGAGCATTGGGAGTAGAAGTTCTAAGAAGAGGCGCATACTGGCCAACTCTAGCTCAAGACGTGCTGACATATGTGAAAAAGTGCGACAAGTGTCAAAAAATACTCCCCAGTCATAAACCAGCCAGCAAATGATCTGACTCCAATCCTCAGCCCGATCCCGTTCGCCCAGTGGGGAATGGACATATTGGGATCGTTCACCACTAGGTCAGCGGGCAGAAAATACCTCATATTGGCGGTAGACTATTTTACTAAGTGGATAGAAGCTGAACCAACCAAGTACATAAAGGCCACCCAAGTGAGGACGTTCATATGGAAAAACATCATCACAAGATTCGGGGTACCACAGTGCATAATCTTTGACCACGGATGCCAATTTTACTGCGACACAATCAAGGATTATCTGGAGGACATGGGCACCAAGTATGCAAGTGCCTCTGTCTGCTACCCCCAGAGAAATGGTCAGGCCAAGGCAACAAACAAGCTGATCCTAACAGCCCTGCAGAGAAAGCTGGAGGAGCACAAGGGCCTATGGGCTGACCTAGTCCCAGAGGTCCTATGGGCAAACGAAACCACTGAGAAAGAGTCTACTGGTAAAAGCCCTTTCACCCTAGCCTATGGGGTTGATGTAGTTGTCCTAGTGGAAGTGCAAATTCCCAGCCTGAGGATACAACATTATGAACAATAAGGAAACGAAAAGTGCATATTGGAAGAGTTTTACTTCCTGCCGGAAGTAAGGCTAAAAGCAGCCCTCAAGTTGAAAGCCTAGAAGAGCAGGATTTCCAAAGCTTTCAATAAAAGGGTCAAGCACAGAGAGCTCTTTCCTGGAGACTTGGTCATCAGAAGGACAACAACAGTGGGAAGAGGAAATCAGCATGGAAAGCTGTCAGCCAATTGGGAAGGTCCTTTCATCATTCATGAGCAAGTAGGACTAGGTGCATTCCTCCTCGCAGATCAAGAAGTTCAGGTCTTAAGAAATAGTTTCAATGCTGATGTGTTAAGGAAATATTTTGTTTAATAGACAAGAAGTTAAGTAGAAACGGAGATAGCTATTTCAATTTTGCAAGAACTCTGTTTAATTCATGTTATGTTAACTAAGGCATCTGAGCCATTTTTAATTTAATGAAATACAAGCCTCTACGTGAGGAGTTATTGCGTAAACTTGTTTTGACATATCATGCTTTAGCATCATATACTAACATGCAGAAGTAATAAAAAAAAAGAGAGAGCAAGAAAACATGCAAGTGCTGAAGGTAAAAAGCAACCTAGCACAAAGCAGCAAAACAACGTTAAACTACGAAAGAAAGCATCCCTCCCAAAAACCCAACCTCACCTGCTCAAAGTAAAATAGGGCACCACCTTGGGGATGCCTGAGGGGGAGGCGTGGCACATTCAACTTGAGCAGGAGAGGGCAGGGAAAACGAAGACGATGAGCTGTGTGGGCGATACTAAGGTTCTCTTAGTCCCACCCAGCTCACCTCTTTGAAGGGGAGAGGAGGAGGAGATAGATACATGTAAGCCCTTACAAAAAGAAGTAAGTGGCACAAAACAACAAGTCGCAACATAAACAAGCTGAACGACATAAATAAGTCACAGCAAAACAAGCTGAATGACACTAAATGAGCGGTCAAAAAGCTGATTGACACAAGTAAGTCTCAGCAGAGCAGACCGAATAATGCCTAGAAAGGCAACAGCTGAATAAACTAGTCAACATGCAAACGAGTCTCTATCAAATCTAAATAGAGTACATAAGGAACAAGCACCCAAAGCAAACAGGGCAAGAAGAATAAAACTTATCAAAGTTCGTTCTAAACACAACAGAGAACAAGAAATCAAGAGAGCCCTCAGCAGCTAAATCAGGAAAATAGGGAGGCCCAACCTACGAGGCCTCGTTGAGCGCAACAAAGAGGCTGTTGTGCTAAGGTATAGGTACTATTATACCTCGGCCCATCAGTAGGCCCAGATAAACACGCAGACTATGAGATAATCAACAGGCAAAGTAGCAGAAATACATACAATACAAAGCTAAACCCCTGCCTACCAAGGCAGAATAAACATTCAGCCGGTTAGTTACAATATATGCAAAGCTGAGCCCTCGTCCACCAGGACAAGGAAACACTCAGCAAGTAAAGTCAGAAAGGCATAAATTCAAGTTAAGCTGGGCAGACCCAGCAACAAAAGACAAAATATTTTGAGAAAACACAAGGAAACATAATCTTTGGCGGCTATACACCCCAAAGATAGTAACAAAAACTACCCAGTTACAATAGATCTGGGTGAGGGAAACTCAGAGGAACCACTGGAGTAGGAAGGTGACAGCCGCCATAACCTTTATTGTCCACCAGCCAAGGACTCCACTCCAATAGCTTCAGCAACGTCAAGACAATGGGGAACTTCCAAGTTCAGCACAGCATGGTCAGGAACCTTGCAACTGGCAGCACGAGG